AAAACACGTCTCTTAATATATATGTACAGCTTTATGATATAGGTGAAACATTCTAGACCCTCGTAAGATGGACCGTCATGGTTCTTTTACGTTTCAATCTCTTATAACTAGTAAGTCAGTGGCGTAGCATCATTTTGGAATGTAAAAATTCAACCTACCTGAAAAAAGGACTCGACTAGCAAAAAAAAGGGGTAGGGGGAAAAAAACTTTTCCTAGCTTGAAAATTCTTTTTTGTATGAGGGTGTGGATGGGGGTGGGGGCAAAGTACTTAAAGTGCCAAACATTTTCTTCTACGTCATTAACATTATCTAACTATAAAATATACTCGAACAAAAAGAGGTTTCAGTAGTAAAATGTTATGTGTGGGAAAAGTGGGGGGGGGGTGGGGGTGGGAATGGGGTGGTGGACACCCCTGATGCTGCGTGCCTGTAAGTATAGAAAGATATAAGTATTTCAATCTTGCTTCGAGCAAACATTCACACACACAGATACAAAATGCAACACAGTGCCCCTTTTTGGTTATTTTGGGATGTTCACGTTCAAAATTTTCTCATAAAAAGAGGCCCATGGGCCACATCGCTCACCTGAGAAGCTTTGACCATTCTGTTCTTTACCAGATTCCCCCTTGTTATACATAATGCATCCCCACCCTACCCCACTGATCATAATTTAGACATTTTGAAATCTACACTACCCAATGATCCTTCCATGGGCACATATGTTTCAGCTTTCTTGGCCCAGTGGTTCCTGAGAAGAAGATTTTCAAAGATTTTTCCTATATATTTCTATGTAAAACTTTGATTCCCCTATAATGGCTCCGCCCTTCCCCCGGGGGTCATGATTCCTACAATTTAGAATTTACACTACCCCAGAATGCTTCCACATAAGCTTCACTTTTTCTGGCCCAGTGGTTCTTGAGAAGAAGATTTTCAAAGATTTTTCCTATATATTTCTATATAAAAATTTGATTCCCCATTGTGGCCCCACCCTTCCCCCGGGGGTCATTATTTGAACAATTTAGAATCTACATTATACCAGGATGCTTCCACATAAGTTTCAGCTTTTCTGGCCCAGTGGTTCTTGAGAAGAAGATTTTCAAAGATTTTTCCTATATATTTCTATGTAAGACTTTGATACCCCATTGTGGCCCCGCCCTTCCCCCGGGGGTCATGATTCCTACAATTTAGAATTTACACTACCCCAGAATGCTTCCACATAAGCTTCACTTTTTCTGGCCCAGTGGTTCTTGAGAAGAAGATTTTCCAAGATTTTTCCTATATATTTCTATATAAAACTTGGATTCCCCATTGTGACCCCGCCCTTCCCCCGGGGGTCATTATTTGAACAATTTAGAATCTACATTATACCAGGATGCTTCCACATAAGTTTCAGCTTTTGTAGCCCAGTGGTTCTTGAGAAGAAGATTTTCAAAGATTTTTCCTATATATTTCTATGTAAAACTTTGATACCCCATTGTGGCCCCGACCTTCCCCCGGGGTCGTGATTTGAACTATTTACAATCTACACTACACCAGGATGCTTCCACATAAGCTTCCTTTTTTCTGGCCCATTGGTTCTTGAGAAGAAGATTTTCAAAGATTTTTCCTATATATTTCTATATAAAACTTGGATTCCCCATTGTGGCCCCGCCCTTCCCCCGGGGGTCATTATTTGAACAATTTATAATCTACATTTTACCAGGATGCTTCCACATAAGTTTCAGCTTTTCTGGCCCAGTGGTTCTTGAGAAGAAGATTTTCAAAGATTTTTCCTATATATTTCTATGTAAAACTTGGATTCCCCATTGTGGCCCCGCCCTTCTCCCGGGGGTCATGATGTGAACAATTTAGAATCTACACTACACCAGGATGCTTCCACATAAGTTTCAGCTTTTCTGGCCCAGTGGTTCTTGAGAAGAAGATTTTCAAAGATTTTTCCTATATATTTCTATATTAAACTTGGATTCCCCATTGTGGCCCCCCCCTTCCCCCGGGGGTCATGATTTGAACAATTTATAATCTACATTTTACCAGGATGCTTCCACATAAGTTTCAGTTTTTCTGGCCCAGTGGTTCTTGAGAAGAAGATTTTCAAAGATTTTTCCTATATATTTCTATGTAAAACTTGGATTCCCCATTGTGGCCCCGCCATTCTCCCGGGGGTCATGATGTGAACAATTTAGAATCTACACTATACCAGGATGCTCCCACATAAGTTTCAGCTTTTCTGGCCCAGTGGTTCTTGAGAAGAAGATTTTCAAAGATTTTTCCTATATATTTCAATATAAAACTTTGATTCCCCATTGTGGCCCCGCCCTTCCCCCGGGGGTCATGATTTGAACAATTTAGAATTTACACTACCCCAGAATGCTTCCACATAAGTTTCAGCTTTACTGGCTCAGTGGTTCTTGAGAAGAAGATTTTTTAATGACCCAACCCTATTTTTCTCTTTTCTTGATTATCTCCCCTTGCGAGGGGATATGTCCCTTCATTTTAACAACTTAAATTTCCCTTTACCCAAGGATGCTTTGTACCAAGTTTGGTCAAAATTAGCCCAGTGGTTCTTGAGAAGAAGTCGAAAATGTGAAAAGTTTACAGACGGACAGACAGACGGACGGACGGACAGACGGACGGACGACGAACAAAATGTGATCAGAAAAGTTCACTTGAGCCTTCGGCTCAGGTGAGCTATAAAACTGCGTACTTGACAGACAAAAAACTCGGCATACAAGAAAATGTATTATTCATCTCTTTACTTTTGTTTTATATTTTTGATGTATAGAAAAAATAAGGCACCACTCAGTTTACTGATTTAAAAAGAATTGTAGGGCATACTGTTTTTTTTTTAAAGAACTAAAACTTTTCTATTTGCAGTAAATACAACCACCCATCGACCCAGTCTCTCTCTACATATGAAGCATGTGTACAGTGTATTGTTATAAATATCAAGACACCAGGAGATTTTAGGTAATAAGATCATATATGAAGAGAAATCTTCGTCATGAAGAATGGGCGGAAGCGGAGCCCATTCTTTATGACGAAGATTTCTCTTCATATGATCCTACTGACTTAGAACAGAACCTCAGCCAATCAAATGAATGGATTAAAAATAAACTCCTCCCACGGCTGTTTCATATATAAGGCTCAACTTGACCGCTCGTTTACATATCGAGCACGCAATCAATATCGAACACACGCGGTTTCAGAATGGATTCCCAACCCAGTCAGGTTAGCACGAGATTATATGAAATAGCTTGATTTACTGGGGAAATGGTATGGTGAAGATATTAAAGTTACTGGAACTAAATGAATACCCATGTAACACGAATCGTAATATCTATATTTTTGAAAAATGATTGTGTTAAGATGACAAGGCCCTAGTCAGCAGGAGTGGGTATCGCTGTCTAGTATCAAATAAAAATTTGTTGAAAATTGTGATTAAAATCTGTCTTCAAAGACAATGTTCGTCTCTGATATGCATGGCTATGGTTGTATTTTCTGTATGTACCGAAATGTGAAAAAAATAATATTCAGAAAAGCGACAAAAGATTACAGTGGGGAAAAAAGTGTAGCAAGGCTTAGAAAGTTTAAATATCGTTGTAAACAGCACGTGGGTTTTGAATAGTTTCTTTTTGTGTGTTGAACAAAGACCAATGAAGACACATCCATTTAACTGTCAAGTGAACCAATCAGACACCGTTGAATTTTTCAGAAATAGAAGAATTCTTCACCATGAGGAATCAATTCTTCGCGAGGAATGGAAGCATTTGATTGGCTGAATAAGTAGGTTATGTTCTAAAGTGAATTAAATCCAGTTTATTTTCTGAAACTGTTATTTCTACTTTCGTTTCTTTTTCTCGACATGGTGTTATATATATATTAGCGTTACACGTTCTGTTCTTATCGACACCTGCGAATAGACGACTATACCTAAACAAGGTAAGACGAACGAGAATTTTATTCTCTGCATACATGTAATTTAATAGTATGATAATGAAATGTAATATATTAGCATGGCGATCACATATTATATTCAAATAGGAGAAAGGGTGTTTTAATCTTACTGAGCGTAATGCAACTATGAAAGTGATGATAGAACACTAATATTATCACTTAAATTTGGAAAATTTAGTCTTGTAATTTTCAAGGTTGTGTTAATTAGCTCAAAATGGCGACCGCTCTAATTTCATAAAGTACTCAAACTGCTTAATTCTGAGTCGTTTTGCATAAAATAAACAATTGTTTAGGTCAATATCTAGTAAATAAAAGATGCCTACAGATTTATCAAATTTGAGAAATAAATTCCCTTAGTGATGCTTTACAAATTTTGCTTGGTCAAATAAGGTGTTTCGGGGCATAATTTGTAGGTAAACAAGATGAAAAATTATATTTTAATCTGGAATTTTCAATGATATAATAAGAAAACCAGTCAAGAATATGGGAGGCTTTTTTCATAATTGACAATGGAAATGTATCCAGATTGTCTAAAGTCTCTCAAAAAACGGTAATTTGTATGTTCATGGCCTCTTCTTTAAAACAATATCAAATCTAATACAGGTATTGGGATTACTTTTCATGTGATTTCAAATTGAATGCCATGAAAATACCCTATTTTCTACATAATTCTGCTTCAGTCGTAAAGTACGGGAAAAAGAAAGTTGAAATTGATTATGGCGTCATAATGGATCTAGCACCAAAAAATTAGTCTAAAGTCATTTATTAGAGCTTGACCTTAAGAATTTTACATTTGCAGATATCCATACACTGCAGAATGGTGAAGATCCTTCTAATATTAATTCACAAAAGAGTCACCTAAATAAGGATGAACAAGAGCAGTCTAGCAATCAAACCTCTTCTGATATACAAAGACATCTGTTCCTATAGAGAACGCTAAAAAAGGGAAGTGAAACGGGGGGTTTGAGCATCATTGAATTTGATACAATTTGCAACAACAAGTGCCGTCTTGAAATCGAACTTCTAGTGACTGGGATGACACAGATT